CAAAATATGCCTTTTGAAATACCCTGGGATGTCTTCTTTAAGAAATGGTATGGCTTTATGGGGAATTTGGATTATATAGCCTGGTAAAATACTCTAAAATGGGACATAGGCACAGCATAAAAATTCAAAGTTTGAAAAAACTGGAATGGCTGTGTCCCAAATGTGCCCCTCCGATGTCCACACATACCTGGCAAAGGTACATACGGGGGTATTGCTGTACTCAGCCGACATAGCTGAGCAACATATGAAGTATTATACAGTCGTAGCACACATAAGGTTTGCAAAATATACTGTGCAAACTCACTTTGTATGTCAAAAAGGCAGAAAAAACGCTTATTACCACTACATCTGGTACAAGCTAGCGGAAAAATGATCCCACGCTAAGGTTCAAACTATACCTTTTGAAACACCCTGGGGTGTCTACTTTAAGAAATGGTAGGCCTTTGTGGGGTAGATTGAATTTAAAACCTGCGAAGATGCTTGGAAATTGCACATAGGCCCAGCGTCAAAATTCAAAGTTTGGTAAAAACGGATATGGGTGGTCTCCTATATGGCACTGTAGCTTCACAAAATAGTGACAAAGACATTCATTGGGGGTGTATTTTTACTCCAAAGACTTAGCTGAGCATAATTTGGGAGGTTTGAACTTAGTGGCACATATGAAATATACAAAACGCCCAGCAAAAATGCAATCCGTATGTAAAAAATGCACAAAATAATTTTTTACCACATACTTTGGCATATATTGGTGAAAAAATGGGGGTATGTCAAGGCACAATATGCACCTTATGAGATACCCTGGAGTGTCTACTTTTACAAATGGTAGGCCTTTGTGGGGGGTTTTTGAACAGTCAAACTGTTATAATACCCCAAATGGAAGCTAAGGCTCATTAAATCCGTCTCTCAAAATTCTACTGTGAATACTGTAAAGGACAGGTCTCCTATATGGCACTGTAGCTTCACGAAATAGTGCCAAAGACATTCATATGGGGTGTCATTTTACTCAGAAGACTTAGCTGAGCATAATTTGGGGGTTTGAACTTAGTGGCACATATGAAATATACAAAACGCCCAGCAAAAATGCAATCCGTATGTAAAAAATGCACAAAATTTTTTTTTACCACATACTTTGGCATATATTGGTGAACAAATGGGGGCATGTTAAGGCACAATATGCACCTTATAAGATACCCTGGAGTGTCTACTTTTACAAATGGTAGGCCTTTGTGGGGTTTTTTTGAACAGTCAAACTGTTATAATACCCCAAATGGAAGCTAAGGCTCATTAAATTCATCTCTCAACATTCTACTGTGAATACTGAAAAGGACAGGTATCCTGTATGGCACTGTTACTTCACGAAATAGTGCAAAAGACATACAATGGGGGTGTCATTTTACTCAGCAGATGTAACTGAACACAAAATAAAACTTTGTACAGGAATAGCACACACCAACTTTACAAAATATACACGAGAATTTCTCTGTTATAAGTTTGTGTGCCAAAAACCAAAAAGAACACAATTTTACTCCAATATTTAGCAGAGGTTGGCGGTAATATGGCTACGTAGAAAGTGTCAAAACAACCTTAGGTAAATAGCCCGTGATGTCTACTTTATATAAATATATACTTTTGTGTGGCAATTTTGTTTTCTTTTATGGCTATTAAGCTTACAAGACAAACATACCAAATTCTAAAATCGCTCCACATTAAAATTTTATTTTACTCCTTGTGCCTTGTGACCTGTAACTACCAAAAAAAACTTAAAATCCCAGACACATTATATATTCTGTAAATCAGAACAAATAAATAAATTTATTTTTAATTACTTTCCTTAACCTGCACTAATTATGCACACATTATTATTGCAAAAACTGTAAAAAAAAAAACAATATTTTTCATTTTTTTTGCATTTTCTGTATTTTTTTTTATAATAAGTAAGCATTTATATATATATATATATGTTATATCAAATTAAAGCCCTTTCTGTCCTTTAAAAAACAGTATATAATATGTGTCGGTGCAATAAATGAGAGAGATGCAAATTGCAGTTGAACGCAAACAGCAAGAAAATGCAAAAATTGCTTGTGCCATTAAGCGTAAGTCAAGCTTCTGAAGCTGTGTCCTTAAGGGGTTAAGGACGGAGCCAAATGTACACGTTGTGAACAAAACAAAATGTAAACAAAACCTGGCATTTGCGCTACATGTCTGTCCAACCGTAATACACCTCTTTCATAGTAAATGCACCCACCCTTATTATATGCTACTCTACTATTCAGGGAGAAACAGGGCTTTCATTACAGCCATTTAGCTATGAAACATAATTCTAATATGAAAAATGGGAGAAAATAATGTATTTTTGATTTTTAGTTCTACATGACATTTTAACGGTCAGTGTCATACTGTTTGCTTTACTGCAATAAAATACACATATTTGTATTCAGCAAAGTCTCACGTGTACAACAGTACCCCCTATGTACAGGTTTTATGGTGTTTTGGGAAGTTACAGGGTCAAATATAGCATGTTACATTTGAAATTGAAATTCGCCAGATTGGTTACGTTGCCTTTGGGACTTTATAGTAGCCCTGGAATGAAATTTACACCCATAATGGCATACCATTTGCAATAGTAGACAACCCAAAGTATTGCAAATGGGGTATGTCCAGTCTTTGTGAAGCATTTGGTCACAAACACTGGCCAAAGTTAGTGTTAGTATTTGTTTGTGTGTGAAAAAATGCAAAAAAATGCCAATTTTGGCCAGTGTTTCTGACTAAGTGGCTACTAAAAAAGACTGGACATACCCTGTTTGCAATACCTTGGGTTGTCTACTATTGCAAATGGTATGCCATCATAGGGGTAATTTTCATTCTTGGCTACCATAGGGTCTCAAAGGCAACGTAACCAATCTGGCGAATTTTAATGTGAAAAAAATGAAACGCAAGCCTTATATTTGACGCTGTAACTTTTGAAAACATAAAACCTGTACATGAGGGGTACTGTTGTACTCGGGAGACTTCACTGAACACAAATATTTGTGTTTCAAAACAGTAAAAAGTATCATAGCAATAATATTGTCCGTTAAGTGCTGTTTGTGCATGAAAAATGCAAAACGTCACTTTTACTGGCGCATCATCGTTGTAATACATTTTACGGTTTTGAAACACTAATATTTGTGTTCAGCGAAGTCTCCCGAGTAGAACAGTACCCCCCATGTACAGGTTTTATGGTGTCTTGGAAAGTTATAGGGTTAAATATAGTGCTAGCAAATTAAATTCCCTTTACTTTCGGCATGGGTTGTCATGCAGGTCCTGCTAATTGTAATTAATTAAGATACCTAATTATGTAAAAATATTATATAAATATATATGTAGAATCAATATATGTATATATATACGTATGTGTATATATATGTATATATCTATATAATTTTTTTTAAATATTTTTATTTATATATAGGTATATATATAGTGATATATACGTATATATTTATGTGTATAAATATATATATTATTTCGTTCTATGTGTATTTTGATAAATATATATATATTAATTTCACAATACAGTTAGAACGAAATAACACACATCTATATATTTTTTAATTATTTATTTTTAATTATTTTTGTAATTTTATTTTTTAACGTATTTACATTTTAATTTTTTTTATAATATATATAAATATATATATAACAATAATTATATATATATTTAATCAGTATCAGTGTACGTGTAATTTGATATTAATATATATATATAATTATATATCTATTAATAGTAAAATACACCTAGACGGTGTACATGTGTGTATGTATATGTGTGTATATATACTTAGATCATATATATATAATATATATATATGATCTAAGTATATATTATTTATTTTTTTACACTATTTATTTATTTCATTTTTATTTTCAGCCAGCAGGGGACCACCTGTCATTACAGGCAGCCCCCCTGCCGGCAATACAGAAGCCAGCTATCCCCGGCCATGTGATTGTGGGGTCCTCGCTAGGACCCCACTCTCACACGGCCGGGGGGCTTCCTGGAGGATGGTCGTGCCGCGGGGGGCTCCCTGGGAGTCCCCCCCACCGCGATCGCCGGCGTGGGACCGCCGGCGACCGGGTAAGTACAGAAAGACCGGAGGGCGTACTATTACGCCCGGCGGCGTTTAGAGCCGCCTATTAGAGGGCGTAATAGTACGCCCTCCGGTCTTAAGGGGTTAAAAAAAAAAAAAAAAATATATGAATGTTAGCTTTGGCCAGGGATTGTGATCAAGTAGCTTCTAAAAAAGACTGGACATATGCCCTGGTTTGTCTATTTTTGCAAATGGTTTGCCATGTTGTGGGTAATTTTCATTCCTGGGATACCATATGGTCTCAAAGACAACATAGGCCAAGCAAACCAATCTTGCAAATTTTAATGTGTAAAAACAGAAATGGGGAAATCCTATATATTTGACGATGTAAACACCATGCATCCTGTACATTGGTGGTACTGTTGTATTCATAATACAACTCTTAACACAAATATGTGTATTTTATTGCAGTAAATGCGAACAGTACTACGAGAAACACAATTAAAATGTCATGCAGAACTAAACAAAATAACATTTCTCACACATTTTTATATTTGATTCATATAAAAGTATGTCCCATATATAAATATGTGATGTGAAATGAAAGTCCTGAACAAAGTGATATATGATAATTGTCTGTGCCCCTAATATGAAAGAGGTAATTTATGGTTGAACAGACATATAGTCCAATTCCAGGTTTTGTTTTGATTAGAACTTGTACAATTGCCTACATCCTTAAAGGGGTTAAGAATACCTAATACATTAAAAGTATATAAAAAATATAGACTTTAATTTATTCCTTAATTTTTTCAGTGAGTCAGAGTAAAGCAATGTAGGTTGTCAGATAATGATTTAAAGACATTTTCTGAGATCATAATGTGTATGTATAAAAAGTGTCTCTAACGTTTAGAAATTTTTCTTAGTGCTAACCTGATGTCTTGGTTTCTTAGACTGTATACTAAAGGGTTAAACAGGGGGGTAAACACAGTATGCAGCAATGATATAATCTTGTTCAAAATCAATAAATGACCTAAGGATGGTATCATATACTTTGTTATTAATGTTCCGTAGAATACACCCACCACGAGAAGGTGGGAACTGCAGGTTGAAAAGGCTTTCTGTCTTCCAGTTGTAGAAGAGATCCTAAGTATCATAAAGAAGATATGAATATAAGTCACTGTGATAAAAGCACAAGGACAAATAAAAACAGGAGCAGAAAAAAAAAAGGCTAAAAATTCCAACAGAGACGTGTCTGAACAGGAAAGTTTTTGGAGAGGGGAAATGTCACAATATATATGGTCAATGATGTTTCCATCACAGAACTGAAAGTGGGATAAAGGCATGAAACCTACTAGGTTCATGGTAAATCCTATTAACCAGGGAAAGACAGACAGACAGGTGCGCATTGTCAAGTCCATGATAGTGATGTAATGCAATGGGACACATATAGCCAGGTATCGATCATAGGCCATCACTGCAAGCAGGAAACATTCTGTAATAATAATGCCACTATAGAAATAGAATTGAGTTATACAGCCAAGAATTGTCATAACTTTCCCACCGTGTAAGATTGCTCCCAGCAGGTTGGGGAGAGCATTCGTTGAGAGCACAATATCAGACAATGATAGATGACAAAGGAATAAGTACATGGGAGAATGAAGGTGATGGCTGATGGAAACTAATACAATGATCAAAAGATTTCCGGTTACTGTGAATAAGAAAATGATAAGGAATATGATGAAAATTATAATTTTGAAGACAAAGAGATTTCCAAAGCCTAGAAGTATGAGTTCTGTAACTATTGATTCATTCTTTACAGTCATAGTCCGATCAAGGTGTCTCACTGCATGCAGACATGACACCTTACAATCTAAAAAATTATAGAAAAAAATGTGTATATGATTTAAATGTACAGAATAGCACGATATTGTAGCAGTTTAAGATACATAACTAATGGTAATCAATTATCTACGGGTAACCAAATCAAAAGTTTACAACTTTATACTAAATGTTTTTTCATCTCTGATGTTTTTCTCACAATGAACCATTTTTTCCACAACTTTGGTCTAGTTGGCACTGGTCTTTAGAGGTTCTTATCTTGTCTTTCCAAGTCCATTCTCAAACAGTATATCTTTTTTCTGTCATATCCTTTTCTCTTGGCTCATACTTTTTTCTGATAAAGCTATCTTTGGATCTCCTCACCAGCTCCACACTTCTCGTAGTAAGTCCTTACATAACAGGTATAATAATTTTCTGATTTATAGGTTATAAAACTCAGGACTCCTTTCCCCATCTCAAAACTCTACGACAGTGGTATTTCAAATGCAGCTGTGGCCACCAATAGACAACCCTTCCACAGATCATGATCCATTATTGACAATCTCTGAAGACTTTTGCCTGTGGGTGCTTAGTAATTGATGACATCTTGGTGTTTTGGGGAGTCTCAGTGGAACCCCTTGTTAAATTCATCTAAAATATAATAATAGTTCTCATTATAGTGATAAGCAAATTAACGTCCTAAGCACCATGACTGAAAAAACAATGCTTATTTAATAGATTTTTTTAAATTTTTTTTTAAAAAGGAAAGAGAGAAAATTGGTATTTGGTATGTTTTCTTGTTTCAAAGTGTTCCTCCTAAAAATGGTTTCAAATATTTTCCAAAAAGTCACCATAAATATGATATATATGATAAATGACCACAAATAAATTAAGACTAGAGTAAGATCATCAATAATTTTCAAGAAAGAGAACTATTAGATAATTAGTTGCAACAGTTTAAAAATCTTAATAGAGAGGAAATTTATCTACACGGGATAGAAATATGCACACACAGAACAGATCAATATTTCTCAATCACTGTTAGCTTTATGTTCCATTTTTAGTCATATTTTTAGGAAGCATTGGTCCTATCATTAAATAATGTTATCTGTTTATCCTGGAATTTCAAAATGTAACTATGATGTAATTTGAATGGGGCACTGTGATGAAGAAACAGATAGTTTGTGCTGGTTTAACACCAAATACATTTACATCTGTTACTTTTTCCAAACAAACAGAATTATAGACAGAATGAAAACTCACATGGTGGCCGCAATGGATGTCGGATATTATTTGAACGCAGAGAGAACATATTAATCATTGTCACCTCATATAATTAAAGATCAAATGGAATTTCATAACCAGTACGTAACATTAAGATAGAGTAATATTTGTTTGCAATTTATGTTTTTACTAAGAGAAAATATTCCACAGTTATAAACATACCATATATAAATCATGATACTATTTTATTAATATCTGTGCTGTTTAATGGGTTGCGGCATTACTCAAAGTTTAGAAAGGGAAAAGTGTTTTAAGTCTTATTTTTGCAATTTAGAGTGTAATTTAGACGCATAGAGTTATTTGCTAAAGTGGGAATTGTAGTGGGTTGAAAACCAAATGGCACATTTTATGCCAAAATAATTATAGCCAGGTATCGATCATAGGCCATCACTGCGAGCAGGAAACATTCTGTAATAATAATGCCACTATAGAAATAGAATTGAGTTATACATCCAGGAATTGTTATGCCTTTCCCACCATGTAAGATTGCTCCCAGCAATTTGGGGAGAGCATTCGTTGAGAGCACAATATCAGACAATGATAGATGACAAAGGAAGAAGTACATGGGAGAATGAAGGTGATGGCTGATGGAAACTAACACAATGATCAAAAGATTTCCGGTTACTGTGAACAAGAAAATGATAAGGAATATGATGAAAATTATAATTTTGAAGACAAAGAGATTTCCAAAGCCTAGAAGTATGAATTCTGTGACGAGTGATTCATTCTTTACAGTCATAGTTCGTTCAAGGTGTCTCACTGCATGCAGACATGACACTTTACAATCTAAAAAATTATAGAAAAAAATGTGTATATGATTTAAATGTACAGAATAGCAAGATATAGTAGCAGTTTAAGATACATAACTAAAGGTAATCAATTATCTACGTGTAACTAAATCAAAAGTTTACAACTTTATACTAAATGTTTTTTATCTCTGATGTTTTTCCCACAATGAACCATTTTTTTTCCATAACTTTGGTCTAGTTGGCACTGGTCTTTAGAGGTTCTTATCTCGTCTTTCCAATTCCATTCTCAAAGAGTATCTCTTTTTTCTGTCATATCCTTTTCTCTTGGCTCATACTTTTTTCGGATAAAGCTATCTTTGGATCTCCTCACCAGCTCCACACTTCTCGTAATAAGTCCTTACATAACAGGTATAATTATTTTCTGGTTTATAGATTATAAGACTGAGGACTCCTTTCCCCATCTCAAAACACCACAACAGTGGTATTTCAAATGCAGCTGTGGCCACCAATAGACAACCCTTCCACAGATCATGATCCATTAATGACAATCTCAGAAGACTTCTGCCGGTGGGTGCTCAGTGATTGATGACATCTTGGTGTTTTGGGGAGTCTCAGTGGAACCCCTTCTTAAATTCATCTAAAATATAATTATAGTTCTCATTATAGTGATAAGCAGATTAACGTCTTAAGCACCATGACTGAAAAAACAATGCTTATTTAATAGATTTATTTGTTTTAGAAAAAAAAAAAGGAAAGAGAGAAATTTGGTATATGGTATGTTTTCTTGTTTCAAAGTGTTCCTCCTAAAAATGGTTTTGAATATTTTCCAAAAAGTCACCATGAATATGATATATATGATAAATGACCACAAATAAATTAAGACTAGAGTAAGATCACCAATAATTTTCAAGAAAGAGAAATATTAGATATTTAGTTGCAACAGTTTAAAAATCTTAATAGAGAGGACATTTATCTACACTGGATAGAAGTATGGACACACAGAACAGATCAATATTACTCAATCACTGTTAGCTTTATGTTCCATTTTTAGTCATATTTTTAGGAAGCATTGGTCCTATCATTAAATAATGTTATCTGTTTAACCTGGTATTTCAAAATGTAACTATGATGTAATTTGAATGGGGCACTGTGATGAAGAAACAGATAGTTTGTGCTGGTTTAACACCAAATACATTTACATCTGTTACTTTTTCTGAACAAACAGAATTATGGACAGAATGAAAACTCACATGGTGGCCACAATGGATGTTGGATATTATTTGAACGCAGAGAGAACATATTAATCATTGTCACCTCATATAATTAACCCCTTAGCGACCGAGGACGGTTCAGGACCGTCATCGGCATTTTTGCCTTGAGGATCGATGATGGTCCTGAACCTTCCTAACGGTCTGGGGGTACTTACCTGATCGCCGTCGTTCCCCCGGCGGCGATCAGTGTTGCTCCGGTTGTGGGGAGACTGCCTGCAGCCCAGACAGTCTCCCCACACTGAATTAGGACCCCTGTGGCCATGTGATCGCTTAACAGAGCGATCACATGGTCACAATAGGTGTCCTAGTGTCTGCCTGCAGGGGGACTGCCTGTGCTGACAGGCAGTCTCCCTGCTAGTGTAAAATCAAAAAAATAAATAAAGTTAATGTTAATTAAAAAAATAATAATAATTATATATGTGTATATATGATATATAGACATATATTATATTTATATAATATATGTCTATATATCATATATATATATATGTCATACTAAGTGTATTTTTATATTAATATGTACTTATATTAATATAAAAATACACTTATAATTAAATTACACACGTATATATATAATATATATAATAACTATATATATTGTATATATATATTATTATAAAATATAAATAATAAGTAATATAAATTAAATAAAATTTTTTTTAAATAATAATAAAAAAAAAAAAAATTATATAGCTATATGAAATTTTATTCTAACTGTATTTTAAAATTAATATATATATATTTATATCAAAATACACTTAGAATGAATTTGTATATATATCTATGTATATAAAAATAAATAAAAATAATAAGAAATATACATATATACATACATAAATAATTATATAAATATACACGTAGACTTCAAATATATAAATATGCATATATATTTAAATTCTACGTGCGTATTTATGTAATAGTTTTACATAATTCAGTAATTTTATTGATTGCAATTTAAGGGACCTGCCTGCCAACCCAGGCCGAAATTCCAGAGAATTGAATTTGCTAGCACTGTATTTTACCCTGTAACGTTCTACGACACCCTAAAACCTGTACATGGGGGGTACTGTTTTACTCGGGAGACTTCGCTGAACACAAATATTAGTGATTCAAAACAGTAAAACATATCACAGCGATGATATTGTCAGTGAAAGTTACTTTTTTTGCATTTTTCACACACAAACAGCACTTTTACTGATGATATAATTGTTGTGATACGTTTTCCAGTTTTTAAACACTAATATTTGTGTTCAGCGATGTCTCCCGAGTAAAACAGTACCCCCCATGTACAGGTTTTATAGTATTTTTGAAAGTTACAAGGTCAAATATATGGGTCAAATATTTTTACATTGAAAATGGCCAGGTTGGTTACGTTGCCTTTGAGAGCGTATGGTAGCCCAGGAATGAGAATTACCCCCATGATGGCATACCATTTGCAAAAGAAGACAACCCAAGGTATTGCAAATGGGGTATGTCCAGTCTTTTTTAGTAACCACTTGGTCACAAACACTGGCCAAAATTAGCGTTCAATTTAGTTTTTTTACTTTTTTCACACACAAACAAATATGAATGCTTACTTTGGCCAGTGTTTTCGACTAAGTGGCTACTAAAAAAGACTGGACATACCCCATATTGAATACCCTGGGTTGTCTACTTTAAAAAAAATATGTACATGTGGGGTGTTATTCAGAGATTTATGACAGATAATAGTGTTACAATGTCACTATTGATAAATTTTAAAAATGTATGTTTTGAAACCGCAATATCCTACTTGTACCTATAGCCCTATAACATGCAAAAAAAAGCAAAAAAGCATGTAAACACGGGTATTTTTAAACTCAGGACAAAATTTTGAATCTATTTAGCAGTTTTTTTCATTCGCTTTTGTAGATGAGTAAAAGATTTTTCAAGTAAAAGTCAAAAAACATGTATTTTTTTCAATTTTTCATCATATTTTTTATTTTTTTTAAATTAAAATACATGAGATTATATAAATAATGGTATGTAAAGAAAGCCCCTTTTGTCCTGAAAAAAACAATATATAATTTGTATGGGAACAGTAAATGAGAGAGCGGAAAATTCCAGCCAAACACAAACACCACAAAAGTGTAAAAATATGCCTGGTCGCAAAAGTACAACATCGCAAAAACAGTCCAGTCCTTAAGGGGTTAAAGATCAAATGGAATTTCATAACCAGTACGTAACATTAAGATAGAGTAATATTTGTTTGCAATTTATGTTTTTACTAAGAGAAAATATTCCACTGTTATAAACATACCATATATAAATCATGATACTATTTTATTAATATCTGTGCAGTTTAATGGGTTGCGGCATTACTCAAAGTTTAGAAAGGGAAAAGTGTTTTAAGTCTTATTTTTGCAATTTAGAGTGTAATTTAGACGCATAGAGTTATTTGCTAAAGTGGGAATTGTAGTGGGTTGAAAACCAAATGCCACATTTTATGCAAAAATAGTTATTTTTGAAACATTTTCCAACCCGGCAATTTTTTCAGATTGACTGTTTTCCCTAAATTTAGCAATTCTGGTTTTAGTTTACCAATATTAGCAGTTTAGTGAATTAAACCCTACAATGCAATCATCATTTTTGTCTTCAAAGTAAGTTGTCAGTAAGTCAAAATGAACTTAAAATTGCAGCCCAAAATAACTGAACTGAAAACATATGACTTACAGATTTTTTATACTTTAGCCATGTTTGCATTCAATTTTAAGTTCACTTTAGTTTCCCTTTAAATTGTTGGCAATTCACACTTTACTATCTAAGCACCAATTTCCCAAGAAATGACATTTGAATTACAAAACTGAGGCTAAACTACACATGTTGTGACAAATTACTGAATTGGAAACCTTCTCCAGGCCAGCAGTTTGTAGCTGCATTTTGTAATTCAAGTTTTAGAATTCGGATAAAGTTCAATATTTAGTAAGTAGAACAAACCCCCTGACAGGCTACAGTTATAATGCTAAACAAAACATGAAAATAGATTCTATTAAAACAAT